AATAATGATTACCTGTTTTGGTGATGATTAAATATGATTCATTATCTTCTAAAATTTAAAAAATTTCTATTAATGAACATAAATTATTTTTGTTCTTTTTCTTCTTTGTTTTTTTTGGTGGGACCGTAGTTTGAATTCAGGGAATTCACACTTGCAAAGCAGGTACTTTACCTGAGCCATACCTCCAGTCCATTTTGCTCAGGTTATTTTGGAGATGGGTCTCAAACTATTTGCCTGGGCTGCCTCCAATCATGATTCTCCCGATCTCAGCCTCTCAAGTAGCTAAGATTACAGGTGTGAGCCACCAGTGCCCAGCAATACCCACCCCAAGTATTGGGGTTTTTTTTGAACCAAGCCTTATGTTTGGTAGGCAAACACTCCACCACTTGAGCCACATCCCAGTCCAAATTATTTTTATAATAATAAAAAAAACTCAAGAAAAAAGAATCAGGATATATAAGATAAATCTACTGATCAATACTCAAATGCATTTGCAGTTGATTAGGGAAATATAATTCAGGGGAAATAAATTATTCTTTCTGCTAATAGTACTATAACCCTAAAATACACCATTTGAGAACGGGGTAAGGAGGGTATGGAGCAGAGACATAAGGAAAGTATGTCATAAAGTAGGCCAACTAGTCAGAAACTGGCTGTATTTGATACTCATCTTTTATTTCTTGGTGGTAGTGGAATCTGAATCATGCCCTCACATTTGCAAGGCAGGTGCTCTATCACTAAGCCATGTCCCAACCCTTTTTTACTTTGGTTTTTTTGAGAGAGGGTGGCACTTTATACTTGGGCCTGTCTGGACTACAATACTTCTGTTTACCACTTCCTGGGATGGGCAGATGTATGCCCAACGCTAGCTTTCATTGGGATAATGGGGATATCACTAAATTTTTTGTTCAGGCTGCTTGAAGCATGAGCCTTCTGATCTCCACATCCCAAGTAGCTACGGATTACAGACTCTTTTTGCTGAGGATCATACCCAAGCCTTGTGTTGCAAGGCAAATCCACATCCTTTTAGGTGCTAAATCCAAGCTTAAGCCTGAGATGTAGCTCAGTGGTTAGACTCTGGCCTGCATGTGCAAGGCTCTGGTTGATTCCCAGCACTGAAAAAAAAAAAAACCACACTCCATGGTAAATGGTTCCAAGTTTGCAACTTTGGTCATTTCTAGTATGAGTTCTTTTTTACTATAGATATTTGCCTTAATAAAACGTAGCCAGGTTTTATGACAGGGCCTATTGAATGAGTGGCTCCTAATCACATATAAGAGACTTTAATAGATAACACAAAGATTCTTAACAATGTAAGAGCAGGATATCTTTGAGACTTCATGGAAGTAACATAAAAGACAACAAAGCTAGGTGCTTATCCATGGAAAGGCCAATATAATCTATATCCAGAAATGGCAACACACATTGGCCAAACAAAGTACTGGAAAAAGTTCCCCTGCTAGCTCACAGCTTTTCATGAGTAATTTCATAGCTATGATCCACTAATGATCACTGTAGAGACACACATACTCTAGAATGTCAACAGATTAACTCAGGGCACAAGCTTTCAATGGCATAAAGCCTGATTGGCTGGTGAAATAAACTCCTGAGTGTTCAGGGTAAGGTGATCCAGTTTAGTCAGTTCTTGTGCATTTATTTCTCTTTTCTCTTGTTTCTCAGCTTCTAATCATTTCACAGTTCACAAAATGTCCTCACTGGAGAAAGGAAGTGAATTTCAAACCGATTTAGTTCCTTGTTAACATTTTGGTCAAAATGTGTGGGAAGTGGAAACAAAAATGAGGTTTTAACATTCTTCATTGGCTTTAATTATCTTGTATTAACTTTGTTTCCACTAACCATGCACAGATGAAAAGTAGGACTCTTTAACCATTTTAGAATGGAATCGGACCTTAGGGATATTAGAGATTTTCCTAATCCATCTGTCAGGGAAGTGTCCTTGGGCTAATTATAGGTTACTGAATGTTGAGAACCATGAACAACAAGTTTTAGTCACTGACTTCTTTGTAATCATTCAAAGTATTGAGAGACTTAAAATGTAGTTACAAGATTTACATGTTTTAGAAGTCTAGGCTTAAAAAAGAAAAAAGAAAAGCAAAGACAAAAGTCTAGGCCTAGGGATGTAGCTCAGTGGTAGAACATGTGCTTAGCATGTGCAAGGCCTTGTGTTCAATCCTCAACACCATAAAAAACACAAACCAATAGCCTCTCAGTTATAAGTAGTTCTTACTTACTCAAATATATATCACACCTTAGACACATTTGACAGACTTGAAAGGAGGATTTTAAAAATCATCCTATTTAGATACACTGCATGAAACTGCAACAGACTGATATTTTTGACTTTGAAGATTATAGAAAGCAAGTGAAATATTTAGTAACCAAGGGGAAAGAAAAATTTGCTAATTTCCTTGGTATAAATATTCCCATCATAGTCAATTTTAATATACCAGCTTGCTGTTACTGAATGAGGAATTGGGAAGAGATGAGCAATAGTACACCATTATATAACATTTCTACCATACAATATGTGTAACTAACCTTAAGAACACAAATAATATTAAAATGCAGTAAAATGATTAGCAAGTAATGGGGTTTGAGTACTTATTACCTTTGTTTTTAATGTAAATTACATCCTATTTAAATATAATAAAATTTAACAATTATCTCCAACTCCCAAATCCATACAGAGTAGTGTCAACATAACACGTAAACTGGCTCTAAAACTTACCAGGAACACATGCTCAAATATCTGTGTAGGACTATCCATCTGACCAAGTATCACTATCATCTCATTATCTATAAATTCCTTGAATTCCCGCAAATTGCATACCATCTGCATTTCCAACTCTGTTCGAATCTGAAAAAAAAGATGGCATATTGTTCTAATCTCTGTGAAGTCCCTCTATACTTTCAACCACGTACCATTTCTAGCCCAAGTGTTCCCACTCCTAGCCTTGGAACAATGAGAAGTCAAGGTCTTTACCTCTTTGGAAGTGATGTTCTCCAAATCCTTCTGCATCATAATCTCCCTTAATTTGGTTTTAATTAGCCTTTCTGTTCGCTCACGTTCAGTTGGTCTGAGAAAAGAGAAGTGGTGATTTTTCTTAAGCAGAAAACTTACTAAGTAAATGAATGTAACATTTGATTATTTCCAAACTGGCAAGCGTTGCCTGTATTATCTTCAATTTATATTGCAGAGGTATGGCAAATAAAAAATATAATAGAAATTGTATTTAAAAAAGTTTATTTTCAGAATGTATACATGTAGTAATTGTTACTTGAAGAGGTTATTGTTGTGGTTCTAGAAAATGAAGAGGGAAGAGTGGTCCTGTCTCCTTCAATAAGGCAAATTCTCTCCCAAAATAGGGTGAAGGGATCAACTACTAGGGTACTTCCATCCAAAATGTTTTCCTTTACAGTGACAACTTTCAGAATACATCTGAAGTTTTTTTTTTTTTTTTTTGTGTTACTGGGGTTTGAACTCAGGGCCTCATGCTTGCTAGGCAGGTGCTCTACCACTTGAGCCACTCTGCCAGTCCTTATTTTGTGGTGGGTTTTTTGAGATAGGGTCTGGCAAACTATTTGCCCTAATTGGCTCTGAACTGCAATTCTCCTGATCGGATCTCTGACTCCTGAGTCCATAGGATTACAGGTGTGAGCCACTGGCACCTGGTACTGATATCTGAACTCAGGGCCTCATGCTTGCTAGGTGGGTGTTCTACTACTTGAGCCATGCCCCCCCATCCCTTTTTGCTTTTAGCTATTTTTTGAATAGGGGTCTCCCGTTTTTGCCTGGGCCGGCCTAGACTGTGATTTTCTTATTTATGTCTCCTTTGTAGCTGGGATGACAGGTGTATACCACCATGCAGAGCTTATTTTTATTTTTTATTTTTGGTGGGACTGGGGTTTGGACTCAGGGCTTAACACTTCCAAAGAAGAGCTCTAACATTTGAGCCACATATCCAGTCAGTTTTGGAGATGGGGGTCTCACGAATTATTTGTCTAGGCTGACATCAAACTATGACCCTCCTGATTTCAGCTTCCAAATAATTAGGATTAGAGGTGTGAGCCCTCTGTGCCTGGCTAGTGCCCAGCTTATTGGTTGAGATGGGGTCTCACTAACTTTTTGCCTGGGCTAGCCTTGAACTGTGATCCTCCTGATGTCCACCTCCAGAGTAGGTGGGATTACAGGGAGCTACCATACTATGTCTTTTTTTCCTTTATTATTATTACTATTATTATTTTGTGATGGTACTGAGTTTGAACTCTCAGGGCCTCGTGCTTGCTTGCTCGGCAGGTGCTCTTCCACTTGAGTCATGCTCCAGCCCTTTTTGCTCTAGTTATTTTTTGAATAGGGTCTTCACTTTCATGGCCAGGCCTGCCTAGATAGCCATCCTACTATTAAACACTTTCCTAGGAGCTGGGATGAGAGGCGCACACTATCACACCTAGCTTTGTATTGGTTGAGGTGTTAACTTTTGCCCAAGCTGGCCTTGAACCACATTCTGCTGGATCGCTGCCTCCCAAGGAGCTAGGATTACAGGCATGAAACATCACACCCAGTTTTCTGCTGAGACCAGGGTTTGGCCATGTAGCCAGTCTGGCCTAGAACTTGTGATTCTCCTGCTTCAGCCTCCCAAGTGCTGGAATTACAGGTGTGTATCACCACACCTGGCTTATCTCTGAGAAATTTTTATCCTCATTTTGTGGATGAAAGAAACAAACATATTAAAAGACACACTAATGATCACACATTGGCAGGAAAATCAGAACACTCAGCCCAGCCTAACACTCTACCTACAGAATTGTGTTCTTTCTTTAGTTTTCTGACTCTCTTAAAAATAAATTCCCCTGAGAACTTTAATACGAAATCAAATTAGGTAGCTGACTCTACAATTACTAGAAGGTTCATGGTTCAATATAACTGGATGCTTCCCTCTAAGGTTTTATTTCATATTACACAGAATCTCAGTAAGACTGACAGCATTTTCTGGCTCTTTCCTTTGCTACCTACTCAAGAAAGATATCTGCTCTGCACTTCCTTATTTGGAGGTGGAAATGGACTAAGCCTTCAGGCATCCTGCCTGCCCTTGCTGCCCACAGCCTTATCGCTGACTGCAAAAATAGCTTTGGTAATCTCCAAAGATGGATGCTCTAACCCCTCAACCTTGGAGTGCCATACCACTTGGGCTCTTCTTAGCCTCTCACAAACCCTGCAGAATATAGCTAATATCTGTGCTATCTCCCTGTCAATCAGCAAAGGCACCCCTGTCTTGACTAGAAGTAAAATTCTTATCCAAGCTTCATTTTTTTCTAGACATAGCTAGCAGTAAGAAGTAAATGTATAATTTTAGTATTCCATTAAAAAGACATATCAATAAAAATAAACTATGTGCATGCTTGGATTAGATTTCCTAGTTTAGCAATCTTTTCCTCAATGTCTTCATCTGTTCTCTCTCTCTCTTTTTGATGGTACTGGGGTTTGAACTCAGGGTTCACACTTGTTAGGCAGGCACTCTTTCACTTAAGCCACCACCAGTCTAAGAACTATTTGGGCTAGCCTCGAACTGTGATCCCCTGATCTTTGCCTCCTGAGTAGGCTAGAATTACAGACATGAGCTACCTATGCCCAGCTTCTCCCAATCTCATACTTTGAGGAGAGTGGTTTGGGAGTAGGTTTAAATCCCCACCCAAGTTCCCTCTCTTTCCTAAGCCTTGGTTTCCTTTCCTATCAAGTAAGGGCAGTAATAATACCAGTCTTCTTACAAGGATTAAATGACATGCCACGTATGAGTGCCTGATATATCATTAGATGTGCATGGGGGCACCACACATGTATATTCTCTTTAATTTCAAATATAGATTGCTCACTGGAAAGCACTTAAATTCATTTTGGCATACATTCTCCTTGTATTTTTTAATAGGCTTTTCTTTCTAGTCAATTTGGGGAGGAAGAGGGGATAGAAAAACACGAACCTACTTTTTTCTCTTTGATTTCACTAGAAAAACATTTGGAAAATACACAAAAATACAAAGAAAATAAAAACAACTTTAAAAAAATCCCACTATTCAAAGATACTCGTTATTAATACTCTGGCCTATGGTTTCTAAGAATTCTTATTCCATGATCAGATATTTATTAAATACACTTTTTAAAATGAGGTTACATTAAACATATTAAGAACTAATATTTATGAGCCTTTACTAGGTGCCAGGGACTACCTGTCCTATTTTATTTTTGCTTAGGAATGTAGACAGATTGTGAGTAATTTCTTTTCTTCTTTTCTGCCGTAGTTTCAAAATCTTCTCTAACAAAATCAGAAAAAAAAACCAAACAAACCAAAAGAGTTTTTTTTTGTCTTCTATGAGTATGGCTTAGAATTTTTTTTTTTGGCTGTGTGCTAGTGGCTCATGCCTGTAATCCTGGCTACTAAGGGGGCTAAAAGGAGGTTTGAGGCCATCTCAGGCAAATAGTTTGTGAGACTCCATCTCCAAAATACCTAGAATAAAAAAAATGGACTGGAGGCATGGCTCAAACAGTAGAATACCTGTTTTGCAAGCATGAAGCCCAGAGTTCAAATCCCAGTCTCACAAAAGTAAACTGAACTCACAGCTTTACCTCTGCAAAGTAAGCACTCTACCACTTGAGCCACGCCCCCAGCCCTTTTCCGCTTTCGTTATTTTTCGGATAAGGTCTTGCACTTTTTGCCAGGGGCCAGCCTCAGATTGCAATCTTCCTACCCACACCTCCCGTGTAGCCACCACATAGGAATAGAATGTGTTTTTTGAGTTAAGAGGAAACATTCATTCCTTTGAAATTCATTAACTAGCTGTAAAGCATGAAATTATGAATAACATTTTCCATAAATTCGTATCTTTTTAGATACAGTTATGATGAGATCTTGAAAGGACTAGGGCTACTGAAAGGAGAACCTACTATTAATAACACTCTGGGAAAAAAATATATTCCAGTGCTTTTTTGACTGTTTCTTATACAAAGTTCTTAGAAATTTGACTTTTCTACTAAAAAGTACTTATTAGATTATCTAAATTAAGCCTTTTAAAAAAAATCACGGAGCATTTTGGCAAAACTTTAGGAATCTTAAGGCAAATCCTGTTTGTAAGGTCAAATAAGTAGCTACTCTTCTTTTTCAGCTGTAGAATACCTTTTAAGTGCAGAAAGATCAATTCAGAAAAAAATAAACATCCTGATTAATTTCCAAAGCAGGAACTAAGTGTAAAAAAATTTCCAAAATAATCAAAGAAGTCTCAACACATAGACCTAAAAAGGAAATAAGTATCAGCTCTACATTAGGCCTTTATCCAGCTTACAGTACACCAGGAGACTTAATGAAGTCTACCAACAAGCACTTAACAAGACAAAGGAGAGTGAAGTAAGACACTTGAAAGGTAAGATATTCTAAGAAATTTCTGAAGAGATATAAGTTTAAAATCAACTGAACACCCAAGGCATTCTTTTAAATTGACTGGAAACATTTTATTTTCTTATGTCCTACAAACATCTCTCTGAAAGCTTCTTGCCATTAATTTGCTTATCAAATGCTCCTTTCACAGATAATGTGAATACAAACTTAAGACCTATTCCTTTAAACTCAAATTTCAAATTAGTGAATTTTTTTTTTTTTTCAGTACTGGAGTTTAACTTTGCAAAGCAGGTGCTCTATCACTTGAGCCACACCTCCAGACTCCAATTAGTGAAATCTGAATGATGGATTTTATGGCATGGCAGTTCTTGATTATGAAGACTCCACTGAGCCTAGGAGTAAAATTTCTCATGCCTTTGTAAGCCACAGATTGGGTTCTTTATGTGTAGCAGAAGTGTGGTATAGATGGTGACTATTATCACTAGGTAGGATTAATTCCACAGAAGACATTAGGAAGGAAGGAATGTATTGCCTAGAGTAAAACAGAGAGGGCCTCATAATCCTCAGGAAGATGACTTACATGTCTGTGAAGAGAGCTGGAGAGTCTGGCCGATGGGACTGCACATCTTGCATAGCATTCCATTCATTGACTGAGGATTGATCTGAGTTGATATGGCTCTCATAATAACTCACCCAGGTGAGAAACAGGCTGCCTGGGTAGTAGTTATTTATTCTGGCCACTTCACAAGCCTTATGTAAGCTCTGTAGTGCAGACCTGAAAGATATGGTGAGAAATGAGCACTGTAGAAATGTGGGATACCAAAAGGCTAAAAACCCATGTATATCTCAAAATCTTCTAATGTTTAAATTCTATAGAATTTGGCCTCTGGAGAATCTTCTCCCTGGAATTCCAGATTCTCTGATCCTGATGATATCATATTATCTATCCATATTATCTACACATTTGCTGTAAGATACATCCTTAAAGCAGTGTTGGGGGAAGGAAAGAGAACTGACAACTCACCAGTGAAAAATAAGTCTAGGAACCTATGATGCTCATGATCCTATAGCTGGAATCAAGCTGTGACTGTACAATTCAGATTTGTTCTTGTTAGCACAGAACTGGGTAATAGCATATATTTTCTATCATTCTTAGAGGCCACACAAAGATCACATACATACATGTCCCTAAGCCATGAGGGCATATCCTTTTGTTTTGTTTTTGTGATACTGGGATTTGAACTCAAGGCCTCCTGTGTGCTTGCTAGGTAGATGCACTACCACTTGAGCCACACTCCAGCCCAAGATATATCCTTTAATGTCCAGGAAGTACTTATTGAATGATACTGATTATTCTTGCTGCCTTACTTTCCTACTCTCTCTGTCTCTCTCTCTCTCTCTTTTTTTTTTTTTTTGCAGTACTGGGGTTTGAACTCAGGGCCTACACCTTGAGCCACTTCACCAGCCCTTTTTTGTGAAGGTTTTTTTGGAGATAGGGTCTCGTGAACTCTGCCTGGGTTGGCTTCAAACCTCATTCCTTCTGATCTCTGCTTTTGCGTATCTAGGATTATAGGCATGAGCCACCTTCGCCTGGGTCTCCTACTCTGTTTAAGTCATTTATTCATATACATAAGTTATTTGCTAAGAACAGATCTGGTTATTCTGAGACCAATTAAAACTTCTGACACTGAACACAGGAACCCAAGAAGGGTAAATACAATTAAAAAGTATCTTTCAGTTATATACTTTCAAAAAGCTTAAGCCAGAAATGCTGAGAATTAAATTACACAAGAGAAAGAACCTTTCTACAAGTGTACTGGTGTGTCTCAAGTGCCTAAAGAAGGCCTACCTCATAGTTGGAACTCAACTAGAATCTGTCAAATGAAATGTCTTATTGGCTATTAATTAATTTCTTTCTCCTAAAGGAAATGGACAGTATAAGGGAATTCTGAGGCCAATACATTCAGTTATTTTTCCTTTTTTGGTGGTGCTAGATTTTGACCTCAGGGCCTTGTACTTGCTAGGGAGGTACTGCACCATTTAAGTCACACCTGTAGCTCATCTTGCTTTAGTTATGTTTCAAGTAGCCTTTCACATGCCTAGACCATGATCCTTCTATTAATACCTCCCATGTAGTTGGGATGACAGGTGCACCCCACCATGCCCAATTTTTTGTTGAGATGGCGGGGGTCTCACTAATTTTTTGACCAGACTGGCCTTGAACCTTAATCCTCTGAACTCTACCTCCCAAGTAGTTATGATTACAGATGTTAGCCACCATGCCTGGCCTTCATGTCTTTTTTTTTTTTGGTGGGACTGGGATTAGAACTCAAGACTTCATGCTTGCAAAGCAGGTGTTTGCAAAGCAGGAGCTCTACTGCTTGAGTCATACTCTAGTCCACTTTGCTCTCGTTATTTTGGAGATGGAATCTTGAGAACTATTTGCCTGGGCTGGCCTCGAACCTTGATTTTCCCAATCTTAGCCTCCTAAGTAGCTAGAATTAGTAGTGAGTGACTAGTGCTTAGCTACATCTTTTTCTTAAAAATAACTTTTTTTTTGGTGGTACTGGGGTTTGAACTCATGCTTGCTAGGCAGGCGCTCTACCACCTGAGCAATTCTGCCAGCCAAAAAGATCTTTATTTATTTATTTATTTTTCCTCACAACAAAAGTAATCCATGCTCACTTAAAAAAATTATGATTGCTGGGCACTGGTGATGCACGCCTGTAATTTTAGCTACTCAAAGGCAGAGATCAGAGAACTGTGGCTTGAGGCCAGCTCCAGGCAACTCAAAACCCTATCTTGAAAATACCCAACCCAAAAAAGGGCTGGTGGAATGGCTCAACATCAAGACTCCGAGTTCAAATCCCAGTACCACAAAAAAATTTTATGACTTTGGGGCTGGAGGTATGACTCAAGTGCCTAGTAAGCTTGAAGCCCTAAGTTTAAACCCTAGTACTACTAAAATAAAAACTAAATAAGTAAAGACTAATAAAAGAGAACAAAGTTTAAAAAAATTCATGACCTGGGGCTAGTGATATAGCCCAGGGGTAGACACTTGCATATCATGCACTAGGCCCTGGGTTTGATTTCCAGAATGAATGAATGAATGACAGAAATCCTATTACCCAGAAATAGCCACTATTATGCACAGAACCACCATACCTTCATAACTTGCTCTTACTCTACATCCTGTCATTAATATAACCCCATGTCAATATTCTTTGACTAAATCATTTTTAATGGCTGTATATTATTTATTCAAGAACATAGATTACCATAATTTAACTGGTGCCTATTTTTTTGACATTTAAATTATTTTTCATTCTTTTGCTACTATTAGAACATTGACAAACATTCTTGTGGCTAAAATCTCTGCACACATCCATGATTATCTCAGAGCAAATTCTTCGTAAAATTACTAGGTTAAAGGGCTTGCAAAATGACGAGGCACATTGGAAAATCATTCTCCAGAAAGGTTGCTCTGGTTTATTTTTCTACCAACAGTTATACAATTATTCTTTAAATCCTTGTCAACACCGTATTATGTAGATTAAAAAATTTTTACCAATTTTTTTACCACTTTTATTAGGGAAACAGGTTTTTTTCCTTAAAAACAAAAATTGTATAATCTTTAAAAAAAAGTGCTATTACTCAAAATAAGCCAAATGCTCAAAGAATTTCAGTTTTATCACAAAGACTCAAAGGTAAGGGCCAGTTTAGTATAACATACAGGATAATCAATGTGTACTTTCTACATCTAGAAAACATATGCTTCAAGAGCATATGCCACAGAGTCTGCTGCAATTAACCTAAAATACACTCAAGATCTAGCTGACTCAGATACTTTGGCTGCATACTGAATTAGGAAGTAGGAGCCTACAGTATCTCCCTGTGAAGGAAGTCCGTGGTTTAAGTGCTGCTGTTGGTTTTCTTTCTTTTTTTTCTTTTTTTTGGTGGTACTGGGGTTTGAACTCAGGGCCTTGCACCCTGCGTGCATTCTATCACTTGAGCCATGCCCTCAGGTCCTAAATGCTGCTTTAATCTATACATTGTCTATTTTTTTCCTGTGATTTTTAATTCAACACCCCCCATCTTGTACACCAAAAAAGTTTCTTCTGCAATAAGCTAACAGAGCTAGGACTAGTCAGCCTACATTTGAATATCAACACTTGATCCAAGATTATTACTTGAGCTGCTGCCTTATTCTCCTCTCCAAAATATACCTGAAAGCACTGTCATTTATGGTACTTACTGCTGCTTAGTTTTACTTGGTACTTGGGAATAGATAGGTAGTTGCCTTTAACTGAGTCTTAGTTAAAGGAGATCATTAAATCTTCCATGACAAATTCACCTGTAAAATAATTCCCTAAATCTAAAATTGGTCTAAGCATACTCAGAACTCTGTCCTACCTCAATCTCTTCATGAAATGGTATGGCTGTTAACTGTTCAGTGACTCTTGGGATTCTACCCACCTAACTCCTGTCAATTCTGTTATTCAGGGGTGGATTATCTCCCTGGAGGGACTTCAATACAGAACAGGCAGCTGGATGAGAAACTGGAATTCAAATCCTTGACCAGGAGATAGACTCTGAATCTTAAGAGTCTCATCATTCACTGGTTATAAATTAGATCATTTTCTGGATACTGAAAAAGAATAAGAGTCTTTCTGTCTAAATAATCTAAATGAACAACCTACTCTTGGACCAGTTATGTAACCCTTCTAAAGCCTCAATTTTCTCTTCTATAATAAGGGGCTAACAATACTATTTTGGGGTACTAGTACAATGATTAAATATAACCCATATTTATTGGCACAAAGTAAATAACTAAGAACACTAGCTGGTGGTTATTAACAACAACATTTTCTCTAGACCCTATTTGCATTATGCAAATAGCTACCAGCAGTTTAAATGGAAATTTATCTAGATAGAAATTTATTAGATAGAAATTTATCTATCTAATACTAACTATATTAGTGCTATTCCTGATTATCTTAAGAAACTGAATGCTAGTGTGTAGAAGTAAGATGTTCTAGACTTGGCTTTTAGACTAAGTAACTCAGTGTTGCTATGAAATTCAGTTCCAAGAAGCTATCTGATTCATTATATCTCTTCTAGAGCCTGAGAATACCTCTGAATTTCAATTGTTCATCAATACTCAAGGCCTTCCACTGTGACAATTTAAAAATTACATTTCTAGGTTATCTTTAATTATGATGACAACACAAACAGAGCACAAAAAAACCTGCACTCACAAATCATATAGCATTTTCAAAGTAAATTGTACCATTTCAAATAGTAATTCTCACAAAACATTATTATAATAACACATTAAAAACCACTGTTTTAAAAAGATATTAAAAGTCATCTTACCACATTGCCTGCACAGATACAGGTTTGAATATGTGAACTCTGTTATCTGTTGACACGCTGAAACCACTAAGAGAAGAAAGATAAAAATCCACAAATATTGGTAGGTTATTTCAGTTGTGAGTTTTCAAGGTTGCTACAAAGCTGATTTAATAGAAGGAATCATCAGATACTTCATGTAGAAGTTAACCAAAGTTTAGAACTTGGTTGAATTTTATCTATCAGGCAAAAGGAATGGAATCCCACCCTGGAGTTAGAGAATTACATATAGTTTCCCAGTGGAAGCTATGGTAGACTGTTCTGCTCTATATTTCTATTTGCAAGACTTGTGGGTTCTTAGGAAACCTGAGTATGGTTTTATAAACTGCAATAAACATCTTAGTCTTTTGGGGACCCATTCTAAAAACACCGGGAGGTGGGGGTGGGGATGTCATGGAAGGAACTGGCACAGGAAAGAGGTTATACTGTAGGCTGATAGCTAGCAGAGGTCACAAGAGGTTATTTGAAACAGAACATATCATCCTCTGGGAGAGCATTGCAACAGTCCCAAATGCTCAGATTAAAGAGTGAGCCAACAAACTGTTTCTTCTTTGTCTGGATTCCTACCATAGTCGGTCTAAAAGAACAGAAGTGAGAGACCTTGGAAAGCTGTATTTTTACTTCACTTTACAAAACAGAAGTTTAAAAGGACTCATTGATCTCTGACATGTCAGTTCAGTTGGACACACTGGGCCTCCAATTCAGCTAAATGAATGGGCCACTAAGATGGAACCCATCCCTTGGCTTTCTATAGGAGAATAAAAGGGAAAGCTCTTACCCATCACCATCCAAATGAATTAGAGTGTCACTCCAGAGAGGCAGGACTAAGCCCATTGTGCATGTGCTACTGCAAGACAAGAAATAATCCATAAATTTCTTCCCTGTTATACTGGGAAGCAATCTTTTATTTATTAACTCATTCAACACAAAGGATAAACCCCTAAACTCTACATTATGGCACAAGTGTTGGAGTGGAGAAATTTCCATCATATTACTATTAATTCCATGTATGTCCTCAGGAGCTGTTTAAGAGATGATTAGTCAGTTCTTTACATGTTTGGCAAAGAAAACTCAATGATTGAGTTTCTTGTATTGTTATCTGCAAATGGTTACTATCTAAAAGCTCCAGGCAATTATTGCTGACTTGCATGAAGTAGGACTTAGTCCAGGATACGGCATCCAATTCAACTCCAAGGAATGTCAAGAACTACTGCTTGTTGCTGAGGTTTACATACATTTATTGAACAGAAGAAAATACTAAATAGTCTAAAAGGGAATACAACGAATCTAAAGAAGTAATTGTTAATGGCTTGTGATCAAGAGAGACAAAATAAACAACACAACTCAAACAAAACAGTGCTTTGTTTTTGTCTTTTTTTCTTCTTTTGAGATAGGGTCTCACTATGTAGTTGAGGCTGGCCTTGAACTCATGATCCTTCTGCCTCAGCCTTCCAAGTTCCACCACATCTGGGAAAACACTGCTTAGTAATCATGCACTGAATTGGCACTGCTGAATGCAGAATAGGAATGTCAACAACCAACAAAGGTTAGCCGAAGTATGGTATGCTAAAATACTATTTCAGGGACTGGAGATATATATAGCCCAGAGGTAGAATGCTTGCCTAGCATGCATGAAGCCCTGGGTTGAATTCTCAGCAGTGTGGGAAAAAAACAAAAACAAAACCAAAACAAATGAACAAAAACCAATCCACTATTTGAATCACACACTAGCCCAAGAAAGAAATTTGCTTTAAATTAATAGAATACGTTGGTGTAAGAACACTTGGACTCCTGATGAACTGTATGTTCTATCATTCCACTTCTCTGGACAACTGCTGCCTATTTCAGACTTCTTGTCATTTTCTCTCCTTAAGGCTGTCTTGAGCCATTTTCCCCTTCTGGCACATTCTCCAAAAGGCTTCTACTCCTGCTCCCTTCCAATATAGCTAGAGAGGCAGCATGGTGTAGTAGAAATGTTGGATGTGGGAGGCAGAACAATGCAGTATGGCTTAAGAGCATGGGTTCTCAGATTAGATGGGCTCTGGAACCCAGGTTCCAGATAAGTATAGGCAAATAACTTACATGCTTTGTGCCCAGGCTCTTCAACTGTAAAACTCAGATAAAAATTCTTTTTATTTTATTTATTTTTTGAGACTGGGTCTTACTATGAAGCCTAGACTAGCCTTGAACTCATGATCCTCCTGCCTCTGCCTCGCAAGTGCTAGGATTACAGGTGTGTGCCACACCAGACTAAAAATACCCTCTTTATTGCCCTGTTTTAAGACTAAGTTAGGTACACAAAAATGTACGAGTGCCTAAACATAATAATTCCTATTTGTTAGGCATCCAAAATATCTGGGTTTGATCTCCTGACAAGTTATCTAACCTTTCTCAGTCTTTATTTCTTCATCTTTGAATGAAGGTAACAAAACCTACTCTTACAAGGTTGTCATAAAAATTTAAAATACTTAAAGGAAAACTGTATGTGAATGCGTTGATCTGCAAAACAAATCTTGAACATGAATCTCTAATGGGTACTCTACTATTTCTGAAAGTGATTTGGTGGTGGAGTTTCAGAAAGAATTATGCAAATGCTTTAAAAACATGAGGAATATCAAACTCAAACTGCTGGAATCACTGCAGGACTAAAGAACACTAGTCAGGCTGTTAATAACAAATGCTGGCCTCTGTTACTCAATACCCTACTATAGATTCCAGAGCTTAAGTCAAATCTAGACTAGAACAGTTTATCCACTTTGGAACCCTGGGCCTGAACAGCTATCATGACAGACTCTAGGAGTGAATAAGAACTTTCTGTTGAGTAGATGAGGTGAGCACATGAAAACTTGTTTGCTTCCTAAGGTACAGTGGGGTCATTTTTGAAGTAGTTTTTTATTTAGTGAGTGTTTAGTTAGGGTTCTAGGAACAAACAAGTACAATTTGTAGTATAAATATGAAGGGTCGATAGCCTAGTGATAAATCTAAAAATTAAGTGACTAACTACAGAAGATACAGAAGCTCCAAAGCAGTTCGATCTCTGACCTTGTGACCAGATACCAGATAATCTTTCCACAAGTGACAATATATAGGAACCAACATCACATTTTCAGCTTGCCTTCAGGTCAGTCTTTTTTGCATTAAGTAGCAGCTTTTCCACACAACAGGGAGAGGGCTGAATTAGGTATACCTGATGTTTTTATATAGTTTACTTGAGTCTCATTAGACTTTTTTCCATTAAGGTGTAGCTACTTATTTTAGTGGATACCCATCCCATTCACGAAATAATTATCTATTAAGGCCTACTATGTGTTAGACATAAAACCAGACGCAAAGTTCTATTTTTTTTTTTTTTTTTGCAGTACAGGAGACTGAACTCAGAGCCCTGAGCTTGCTAGGCAGGTGCTCTAGCACTTGAGCCATGCCCCCAGTCCAAATGTCTTTTTTTCCGGGGGG